ATGTTTATTTAAAATATATTTATTGCTAGATACATATATATGTATGTATGTATCTATGTACCCAAAACAAAGATATATACATAGATATATTATATATGGATGTGTATAGGTAGCAAAAAATCAATTGAAACCAGCTCTAAAAGGAAAGAGAAAACAATTATAATAATTCAGTTATTGTTCATTATAAATATACTTGTTCAAGTGATGAACAGGGTATATCAGTTGTATACAAGCAATGCCTGTCGTTGAGTTAACATTTAACATACATATGTACTTAACCCATCTGGAGAAATTTAGAGTTATAAATACATTCATCAGATTTCTTGGTTTTACCTCCTCTACAGATAGACATGTGTGCAAATAGGTATATAAATATACATATGTATATTTCTTGCAATCCTAAAAGTGTCTTATTCGCAATAGTTAAAAATCTTGGACATCAGTGGACTTAAAGTCAATTTGAATCATAAAACGTTAAAAAAGGCCTAGGGTATTATCAGTTATCCAGCTATTTCTGAAGCGAGGTAACGAATGGATGCAGTCGCTTATGCCCATTATGCCCGTCTACAAAATTCATTTTTTTGCCTTTTCCTTTTCTTAATTCTTGATTGTGACGACAGTCATTACGATTTTTGGGGTTGAGTATTAAATTAAATGAAATAACTGTGAACACAAATCGTAATTAAGTTGCAAATGACAAAAATCGGTAAAACAAAAAAAAAAAAAAAAAAAAAAAAACAAAACAAAACAAAAATTGTATACTTTAGAAGAGAATGATAATATATTATTTAACATTTTAATGTGAGGCATCTTTCACATATTTTAGAGAGAATTTATTTAACATTTTCATTATTCTAAATTCTTAAATCGATAATTGCTGTTGTTGAGATTATTAAGGTTGTTATTAGCTGAATTGCATTGGAGACAAAAACGTTATGCATTAATATCTTTTGTTATCAATAAATAAGAGACATAATTCAAATTATTATTAAATGGTTCCCAATAATACAAAGAGACGGATAGACGGACAGCCCTTCTAGAAAGTCAACGTAATCTACAGATAATAAGTATTACGGTCCTCGTGGGAAGTATACTTACAACTCTTTTAGACTTCGAAAATTGTTTAGCTAATGACTTGAGCTCGCGTATTTGGAAATGAATAATATCTCTTTGAAACACTGAAGAATATTGCAGCTGGGAACTACGGACTGCCAAATACTCATTAAGAGTCGAACAACATTTGAACCTCCTTCATAAAGAAGAGAAGAGGGAACAAGATAAAGATACAAGATAAAAACTACGAACTCAAAAAAGAAGATCACGAGCTAGGTCAATTCTACGTGAGTGATACTAATAGAAATGAACTTTACAACGAAATTCTTGACAGCAGGACATTGCCCACGATCCGAAAAAGCATAATTTGGAGTCTAAAAATACTTTGGAATTCATTCGCAACGCAATTCAAATTCTACTGGCAATAGCATTGCAAGGGAATGCAAGCTGCGAGAGATCCTTCAGCAAGTTAAAACTTATAATATTGGGCGATTGGCCTCATTGAGCGCAGATAGGGATGAAACGGAAAATAAAATAGACTCGATGATATTTTCAATGAGTTTAAGTCAGAAAAGGAATAAGCGAGCGCAGCTACAAGTTGTCGCAATGGAAGATCCTTCAATAAATAATTTAAATCTAAAATGAAACGTATTACGTAATTCTTGAAGCTCTGCATTCTGAAATAAATAATTTGCTTGAAAATGCAAATTAAATTTGCATTCCTTAGATTTGTGATAATGAATAAAGTTACGAAAATCACGATTATTGTAACATTATTTATATATGATTTAAAAGCGAATTCTACAAAGTAAGTACAGCACATACATAACTGTATATGAAAATGATGGGGGTGGGTGGGTGCTAACAATTTTTATGTCGCTACTTTATTCTACCAATCTGTGAAATGTTCCTTTTAAAGTAATAAAGAAATACCTCAAAATTCACTCCTAAAATTTCACCGCAAGTTAACAAAATAAACTGTCAGTCTATTGATTATAGCATTTTATTAGGTGGAACCTCCCACACTATCAGTGCAATACAACTCATTATCGGTATTAATTTATTTCACCGAATCGGAAAGTGTTATCGATTCCTATATACATTTTATACAAAAGTTTATTAACATACAGTCATCCCATAATAAAGACAAGTAAAAACAAGTAAGAAAACTCTAGTCGAGAGTGCTCGACTAGATACTACCCTGAACCCAACAATTAAAAATGCCCATTTAGTAAGGCTGAAATTTCAATTTCGATGTATTTAAAAATATAAATAAAATACCAAACTCATTTAATAAAATATAAAAATATTTTGAAACAATTAAAAAAGTTAACAACAGTTGCAC